ACTTAAGTGGTACTGGTGTTTAAGTCTAGCAATTAGGATCATTAAGATATTTGGTTTCGATCACCAGCAAGATAATGATATTTTATATTTCGATTAGTATCAAGATCTGTCTGTAGTCAAGTTGTGGATATATAAAGAAGTTGTTTGTAGATTGTAATTTATTGGTTGGTTAATTGAAGTTATTAGAATTTCTTAAATTATAAGTTGTTACAGATGATACTTGGGGTGCGACCAAAAATCTTGTAGGTAAGAAGCGGTCAACTTATTAAATATTTTATATAATATGGGTAACGATTTTGCATTTTCTGCTTTGTTCTAATGTTTTCCATCCAGTTTCGAAATAGAGGGATTCTCTGCTTGCATCTTATGACATTGCAATGACAATTCTTATTTATCTGCATCGACCCGGGAACAACCATCCCATTGATCACAGCAGCACGCTTACACGGGCAGAATAAAAGATTCTAAAATTTTGTGAAAGTTTTACGACTGATAATATATATCAATCGACGCAACGCACCAACTTTGAGGTATTTCTACAAATACTTTCAATATGTTGGGTCCATTTCAGGTACGCACTCAGTTTAACTCCCAAATGCTTGTGGTTTTAACAAATTTATTATCAAGTCCGGATTCAGTGTTAAATACCAATTATGCCTCAGTTTTTGCTTTGTTAAGCTTATACTTTTAGATCATTATCAATAACAGTTTCAATATCTAAAGCTAAATTGTCAGTATATGTAATAAACGTTTCATCTGCAAGCAGTCTCGAGATACTTATCAAATTATCAGAAATATTATTAATCCTTAAAATAAATACAGAGGCCAAAGAACAGAACCCTTGGGTACTCCAGCGTTTGTTGTTTTAGATAATACACGTACCTATTCGACGAATAATATGTTAGCCCTGTACGCAACTTAACACTTACTCCATAACTTTATAGTTTGTTAATTAATCAACAATGCCAGACCTGGTCGAATGATTTTTTTTTCAATGCTCATAGATACGTTATGACTATCAATTGAATGGTGTACCGTTGAATGACCAGGTTGAAAACCAGACTGATAGTTTATTATTAAACAATACGTTTTCGATTATATAGTTTTGAACATATTTTGTTATTAACTTCTCGATATAATTGAGAAAGTGATAAAGATTGTGACTGCATGTTTTAAAGAGATACGGGGTCAATTTTTCAAAAATCACCGGGAACTGACAGAAAGGACAGAGAACTCGCACAACAAATGAAGTTTCGACTTAAAAAACAAACTATTTGGGTCAGAGGGTAACAACAGAACCAACTCTCTCCAAGAAAGATGGATGCATCTTTACTCACTATTTCAGAGCTCAGTTTGGAATATTTGGAGACTATAACGTGCGGCACCTTCCAGTTATCATTACCTCCAGGCTTTTTCGGTGAACATCTTAGTGATGATGGAGATTATGAAATATAGTTGCATCAGCACTCTCACAACCTCATCCGTTGTCAGATATATTCCAGCAAAGAGCCAGAGTAAATATAATGTTTAGGTTAAGTAAAGCACAACACCAAATGATAATAATCCAATGAAATGTTATTACTGCTAGTGCCCCGTTGGTCATCGAACTATCGGAATGTGTGCTTATACATCAAGTATACTTTAATATCTTGGCTGTCATAGCAACCTTCAAAATCCAGAACAGTTGCACACAAGGGCTAAGATGTTCCGACAAACCTTGAAATATGTTGTTTTCTTGTGAATTAGAGTCACCAGTGTGAAAACAAATTCAAAGCCTTGCATCATTTTTCTCTTCCCTCTTCTTTTCAAGTCTGTGATTCGAACACATTTCATAATCTTGCATCTATCAAAGATTATCTGTAAATGTCATCAGCTGTTGAATAGCTTCCTTGTCTTCTTCTTAGTCATTTGATCCTTTGTTTGAATATGTTCCAACACATATTTTGGATTGATATGTTTGTCACTGGTAGTTCATGAACTAGTCCTTCTATGAACAAAATATTTTTCGGTAAACAAAAGTTGTAAGATGCTTTTATTCTAAGATGAACACATTTAGTTTGGAAAATATCATAGTTTGAGATGGCTTCTGGCTGTTGATTTGTCTGTAAATATCTGATAACTCACCATAACAAGAGATTTTTACATGTAAACTGTAGCATATGATCCCTAGTTTTGGTTGTATCATAAACGATCCGTGAATGCATTCTTAGTTTGACTTCTTTTGTCTTTTGGGATAAAAAAATCCTACTTTTTGATAATTTCAGATTTAAACTTTTACGAAAAACGAACCAAGTGTTGATTTGAAATGTAATGGATTCGTTTTTGTGACAAGGTTTAAGTTTACACCTCCTAAAAAGAAAATTGAAATCATAGGAGTGGCCATTTTGGACCCCCCTCCTCCACGTGTGTATTACTAATACATTAAAATACACAATAATAGCACACGTCAGTTAAATGTGAGGATAAATAATACATAATCATACACAATAATAACACGCATCAATTAAATGTATGTATAAGTAAAACATACTAATACACAATAATAACACGCATTAATTATACGTATGTATAATGTATTAATAATACATCATGATACATAATAATAACACACAGTAATGAAATCATCATCAGCAGCAGCAGCATCATCGAAACAAAATAGTACATGAACGCTCGACCCTCGATAAGCATACACTCCGAAAATGATTTGCTGCACCACTTGGTTAAGTGTAGAATTGAGGGTTTTCTTCCGTGTCTTCTTCAAAATTGATCTGCTGCCCCAATTGCATCCCCCCGAATAATTACCCCGTATTTCATATCCACTTTATTTCTATTTGATTTCTTTCTTTTGCGATGTCTCCCCTGACATATTTCCTCGTATGACTGTCACACTTACTACTAACTAGCTGAGATTCTCTAGTGTAGAGTAAAACATTAGTTGTTATGTCCAGTCTCCAAAGTTTCTGCTTCATTCCTCCCCCCCCCTCCCTGAATATTTTCCCTGTATTTCATATCCACTTTATTTATATTTGTTTTCTTTCTGGCGATGTCTCCCCTGACATCTTTCCTCGTATGACTGTCACACTAACTAGCTGAGATTCTCTAGTGTAGAGTATATCATTAGTTGTGATGTTCAGTCTCCACAGTTTCTGTTTTATTTGTAAGTGAGTTACAGATATGGATATTAATGCGTAACATTTAACGGAATCGTATACCTAGACCTGTATAAACTTTCTGGTTGGTAGACGATGTATTAGTCAAGGTGTTTGCCGCTGTACATGACCAGATATGGGATTTTACCGGTACCTGCTGGTCATCTGGTCAGTTATAACAATATTGACGGTGGTCAATGCATCAGGTGAGAGAAATACTTATAAATACATGTACTGATGACAAAATTGAACCATCGCCTTTATCCAGATGAGAAATGCCTTAATACCATTGTTAGAGACAGGCGTTTTATCAAGTTGTTATTGAAATTCGCTTAATTGATGAATTCGTGTTGATTTAATACAATGCATAGCCGAGCAGTGCTTATCAGCCCGATCGTTATACATAAACTTTATTTATTTTACAACAATTATGAAACAAGTTATTTCATCTTATATTTATCACTCTTGTTGGCCTGGATGTTAGCGCGCAGGGGGTCTTAATGTGGGAGGAAACCGGAGTACCCGGAGATTATCCACGTGGTCGAGCAGGGACCCCATACCTTTTCACGTCCAATCGGTGAATCGAACCAGCCCGATCGTTGATGCCTTCAAGATATGTCATGACTTGATTTTAATACCGAAATGTGCTACAGAATGTTGTTGTTTGTGAGTCTCTATTAAACTGTATAGTTTACAGATTTGATGATCTGATGTTTACTATCGTTCAAATGTTGACTGGTCACGTGCGATGTGATCGAACGCATCTAATTTCCAACCATCCCGCGGACTTTGATGAACAGCCGAGCGATCGGCCGAGCAGAGCGAGCCGTTTTAGCAACACATGTATGGAAAGTACGGGGAACTGAGAGTGAATTGGTTCTATGCTATATGAAGGCTTCAAAAACTTTCGTCCTTCCGGTCGTACAGGCTCTCAAAAAACGGCAACAGGAGTTGCTCCGTGACTGCATTGGTGTTCTTTTTTTTTTTGCATAAACAATAAATTTGACATTTTCAATGAACACTTTGTATTTTTGTCGTATCTTCGGGTGATTTTTATTTTCAGAAACCATTCTACACTTTTTTTACAAGTCGATGTAATTGATGAAATCCTGCGATGTCCTCCATATCATTTTGATATTTTCATTTTTCTCGAACTGAAAATTGTTTCAATGTAGTACTTGCGCTTGGTTATTTGTCCTTAGCTTCAAAATGACATCGGTTGATACTGATAAGTTCCACGTATTATGCTGTTTGTGAAAGGATGAATTGACGCTGACATCATGTTGTGGCGCGACTGTGGCATCACTGTTGACACGCGTCATCATATAGTGTTGACAAATACATGCATTGAAGCCAACTTGAATTTTCTGCCGCTATACCACATTATTTAGAATATTTTGATTTAGTTTATCCTGATTCCTACAGTTCAGTGCACATTTTTTTATTTGTAACTACATTGTAGGCATGGACACATAATGTATATCTTTTATTTAGTGTACGTATTTCATGCATTTATGTTACTTTTTTAAAGTTCTACTGGAGTCGTTTTAACACAAGTTCAAATACAAAAAAACAATTCTTCCTGAACTTTTCAACAAACTCGAAGAGATTTGTTTCTTCTGAATTTAATCTCGGAATATTGTCATAGTTTTCCGTTACCTGATTTTTAAGAACAAGATTTATTTTCAAAGGCGCATTTTGCTGTGTCATCTGCTTCTTCACATACGAAATTATTTTAGAGAAAAATATGCAGTAAATTCTCTTACAGTAATTGTGTGTATAAATGTTTTTGTAACATGATCACTATTAGCATCAGAATCATAGAATCAAAAACAGGGGAAATGCGGTATTCAATAAACAGTTAAGTATGGATAGGAAGATATTTCGGCGTATAACTGACACTTGCAAGTATAGATACATGTAGTTTCAAGAGGAACGCCAAACTAAGGCCTAGGTCAATTTTTTTTAAATTTTATTTTGTAAATGTATGCATTATTGGATATTCAACTGTTCTTCAATTCCTCTGTACTTTCGTGTCTTGGAATGTTATTGTCTTTTAAAACTGGAGAAAAGGGAAAATCTCTTCAATATGTACTGCGTAATGTAATCATTATCCTGATAGTATATTTACATACAATATCATTGTTGAAATTTAAGAATCAATTCTGGAGTAAGACCTTCGATTCTTTTAAATGTATGTATGTATTGACAAACACTAGTCTAAAAATTGTGTAAATCAACTTTTTTTATTTTCGTTCTTATACTCATATCAGTACTTTACGGTACCATATGAAGAAAACAAACAGATAGACCAGTTGTTAATGTTAACAAATAAAATAACGAACCAGGGCAGATCCATTGCGGCAGGGTTCGACATGGGGTAAGTGCAACTTAGGGGAGACCGGGGCAAATTTGGCCCTGGGGTTAAACTCCGATCTTGAGCAAATGTGTACAACTTTGAGGATATAAGCAGTGCAGTTCACTGGGCAGGACATTCATACGAAAAAAATGGTGGGAAAACTGTAATTCAAGATACTAAAAGGGAGAAAATTATCTTTGGGAAAGTAGAAAGAAAACCATGACCTCACTTCAGTCTTTCTAGTTTTGCAAATTTTCTGTAAACCGAAATGCTGCTTATTGATGTCAAACGCGAAACAAAATGACAGCTTCACATGATGGTATACATAAAAGCCTAGCATTGAGTTTCGTATTGCTATGATATACAGATTTCTTAATATATGCAGCTCTCGTAACCCTGTATGCTTTTAAAATTATAGACACTTTCTACCAAAGCCTAGAATAGGTAGCCACTGTGTGCGTTCATCCTTTTTCTGCAAATCTATTTTGTTGTCTTTTTTATTATGTGGAGTGAATGCTTTGTTGTTTTATTAACAAGCTAACTTAGCTTTGATAGTATTTCCAATAAATATATATGTATATATATCAGTTCCCCTGTTGAAACCCTAAAGAGGAGAAAATCGTATCAAGCATTTTCAATGGCTTAAAAATTTATGTATCAGCCCATAACGTAAAAAATGACGTCGCCGTTTGTAACGTCGCTTTTGATTGGCTGATACAGCGGCGTAATAATTTCTAAGAGAAAAGAGTTCATCAATAAAAGTGGATTTCCACAGGGATTGTGCATAGTAGATTAAATCATAAGGATTGACTTGAATATATTTTTTATGTTATGGAGCTATAAACACAAAAAACCAGAGTGTACTTCGCTGTTTATTTAGAGTACACTCCGTTTTTTGTGCTATATCTCCATAACATGAAAAATATATTCAAGTTAATCCTTAAATAAAACAAAAGACAAGAGCTACTTCGATTTCCCTAGTGCTTTCTACTCTTGAGAGGTTCATCAGGGGAACTGTTAATTCATGTCGACAGGACAACAACACAACACAAAAAGTGATGACGTCACAATACAACCTACCAAAATTGACGCCAAAATTAACAATGCACTTTAATGTCAATATTTGAGGAACAACAAAGATGTGTTACAGAAATATATACATGTATATATAGTTACAGGCATGAGTATAGCAACAGAAACGTTCACATACATTTTCTTTATTTATTCATGCAACGATCTGTGTTTTTAGAACAATTTAAACCAGGTTTTGATATATCGATTAACATTGATTCTTTTGACTCTCGCTGTACAGTGTCTTCTGTAGCTTGATATATATATAATTTTATGGAACTTATCATATGTACAAGAAGGCATATGCTTATTAACAGTTAAAAGCCTAAGATTGTCACGTTTTGTCTGTTGTCTGTGAAGTGTCATACGACAGTGAATGTTTTTTTATTATATATATACAAATCGACGAGTAAATTTGAAATCAAAAGTATAGAATCCTTTGTTCCTCAAATGTCAATCGACTTAATTCTTTCAGTAAACATCGCCCTTCGTAAAGCGACAAATCAAAGTTCTATCTACAGGAGATTGGGCAGCTCTAAAGCCGTAGACGGATGTGCCAGCACGTACATGAACTCCTACTGCTGTATACTCACGGCAGCAGGACAGACCGAGGCCTGGTGGCAGGTAGATCTACAGACACAGTCCGTCATAGACACCGTGGATATCACATATAGAGGTAAGATTCTCTGGAAGACAGCTGCTTAATTAGGTATTGTGTTCCTCAAATGTGTATATTTGCCCTTTTCATTGTATGTCATTTCACTCATCATATTTTATTGAGCAAACAATAGGATTAAACAGGCGGCTAGGCCTATACAAGTTATCTCCTAAGGGTGATATGACAAAGACAGAAATGAAACGATTATCAAGAATTATATCATAAGCAAAGTGTATAAGGGAGATGAATCCATGTATCGTTCATTTATATATAAATATGAAATATATTTTGAGCTATACGATGCTCTCATAAGAAGTCAGCTGCTGACTTAATGCGCGAAAGATTAGTCTGCTGTTCATGAACTCTGAATTAGGGATTTTCCTAAATACAGCACTTTACATATATATATATATATGGGGCAAAGAAGTAATTCCAACAGTGTGAACAAGTTTAGGTTGTCAAATTTTCGGAGCTTATTTTATATAAATATATATAAATAAAACAAAACACGAAGACTAGCATAATCAGCTAGCGCTTTCGTCCATCTTGGGGCTCTTCAGGCGATTTAAATTTATTTGTGACGTCATAAATGGAGTACACATACTTAAGACGTCAAAATAATGTATGTATATATGTTATATACCAACATTTTTTAGTTCGGATCCAGTGCCAGTATTGGATCATACTGTCGTTATTACTTATGTGTCTTGAAAAAGGAGCGGATCGCTCCGAAAATTTGACAACCTAAACTTGTCCACACTGTAGGAATTACTTCTTTGCCCCATATATATATATATATATATATATATATATATATAAGATAAGAAGTTATATTATATATACAATAACATCATACAAACACTCAACCGACACTACATAGAATTCAATTTAAATTATTTTTTTAGAACATAGGTGAAAACGAGTTATATCAACTTAGATAAATCACCCTTCTTGGCTCGGATGTATTTTACTACTAATTTACAACTATCTAACAAAGCGCGTGTTCTTCATCAAGCATGTCGATGGTTAAACGTAGTGCAGTAAATCTTCTACAATCCGATGTTATGTATTCAAAACATATACTTAGTTAAACATTTTGCTCACATGGTTGTTCAGAACAGCTGATTAATGTTCGACTAATAGCGTCTGTTTCATTGTTTTGTCAAGAACGTTGTACAGGGAGGGGGTTTTCATGCTCCTAGGGTGCGAGAGAGGAGTGGGTCTCACATTTGAAATACGATTCTCCCCTCCCGTGTTTTGACTTATATTCCTAAGTCAATGAAGTTGATAGTACTCATTGATGCTTAGAGGCAGAGTCACAAAAAGGCGAAATATTTGTAATATTACTCTTAATGAGAACATTTAATCATGATTTGTTAAAGATATAATCACCGTTCTCCAATGACCCTTTGACTTAATAGTAAACATGTTATACCAATCGAACATTCATTAATGGATGCATATAGTGTTATCATTGATTTTTTATAATCTTTAGTATGATTGATATGAATATTACTTTGAGGACTTTCCTCTGGTTGAATACTTGTTAATTTGAAATTTACATTTTAGCTGTACATTTCCTTTATACTAAATATAACAGCAAGAACTACTACGTGCGAATGCTTACCTCGGGTCTAAAAAAAAAATCAAAACTCGTATTGCAGTCATTTTAACAAGAATGGATTTATTCAGGCTTAGATAAGTGCCAAAGTTTATTAGATGTATAACAAACTTGTTTGTTTTAAAAAAATCAGAAAATTTCACAACCTTTACTTTCATAGCATTAACCTTTTGTCAATAAAGCCTGACACATTATGCATATGAGTGTTGACAGACCTGTAGAATAAAAGATAACGGTTCAAACATTCTGAATGGAACTAGCATTATGTCGTCTGCGATGCAAAGGTGACATAGGAATCACTCTATCGGCAATGTTGTCTTCATCGTCCGCACAAATGGTTTCCGTGCGTTAACTCTTGTCACACTCATTACCTACGAATGGTAGTTGTCTGTCCAACAGTAATCGAACTATATATATATATAGGATCTAACATGAGTTTTCATTTCATATGAGTTTAATAAATTTCATATGAAATGAAAACGAGTTTAAAATCCTTTATATCACATAATCAAGATTTGTGGCATTTATTCGTGTAAAACGACAATTTTCATGCAACCTTTAAATGTAAAAGGTCTGTGACGTAATGTACCTGTCCTAGGCGTGACGGTACGATTGAAACAATCGAAACTTACACCCTATCACAGGATAACACAGTACATGATGTGATAAATACAAAAATAAAATTCGTTGAATACATTACATTGAATTGTAGAAGAATAACTGCTCTACGTTTAACCAAAAACATTTTTTTATCTTTAAAAACTCTATAAACCTAAATGTTTGACTATTTGACGGTTGCTACTCGACTGAATTACGGTTGATATTATATTATATTTGTAGATCAGGACACACTAAGAAGACTCGCCGGATACGAGATGTACCTGTCTAACAAAATAGACTGGACATCAGGAAACAGGTGTTACAAGGACACCACAGCTGACTTGGCGTTCATGTCTCCGATACAATACGTTACATGTAAAGGTGTTGCCCGGTATCTGACCATCTACACTGACCGTCGATTAAAAGCAAAACCGTGGTACTCGGATTATGCTATACTGGAACTGTGTGAAGTACAAGTTTTTGGTGAGTTTACTTAAGGATTGAACGTCTGTCAGATTGCAGTTACAGCCTATATGAATGCAATCTTAATGACAGATAAAAAGAATGACGTCCGTTATAGATCGTTACATTTCCTCATGCGACATGTCTTTTATTAATGATTTGGATGAGCTTAACTTATATTTCCTGCTGCCGCAAAACCTCACTGGTCCAATTCTTGGAACAGTCGCAGACGGCCATTATCCAACTGAAAACTGTCCAAACAACGGTCACCATTTAAAAATGTACCCAGGCGACACCTTAAATGCAGTTCGTTGCTCTAATTATCTGTATAGAACATTCTGATAGAAAAGTAAGAACTTACTAGCCTATTCTGGTTGTCTTCATTGTTTGCAAAACCCGTCAAAATGCAACTTGTAATAACCAAACGACAACAACAAGATGGCAACTATCTTACAAATTGATGACGTTGTGTTATAAAAAACCAAGGTATTTGGCATCCAAGCATGCACAGTTGATGTTACTGGGCGTGTACAAGATATTGTTTTATATAAAATTTACTTACCTTAATAACTTTAACTGTGGTTTATAAGTCACAGTTACCATTAGACGTTACGAGTTTGGACAAGCAACTACTTTTCAATGAGGGTTTTAAATGTTGTTCTTTTTTTTCAGTGTAGCCCGTATGTAGTAACGTAGTGTTCACGAATTTATTCAAACAATAATGCAAGATACAACAATTGTCACTCTCAGTCCCCCTGCAGAAAAAGGTTCCCTCGACTTGATATTCATATGGAAAAAAAGATAAATGATAAAATAAAATCATTATCTGTGAAAAAATGAATGATATGCATTATCATTTATACTCTTTTCCATATGAAAATCAACTGTGGTTTATGTAATTATTTGTTGTCCAATATTAGTGGCAGTTAGAGTAACCTGGTTCCCATAGAGCCAGGTTTCATGTTATCTTTTACTTTTCAGTTATCATTTTGATATAAACATGTAAGTTATTTGACCACTTCATTGATATTTGAATAAGAAAGTTCTTTGGAACAAAGACACCCTTGTCTGTTGATGAATACATATTACAAACAATTCATAACGACGAGCCCGATTTGTCAAACATTATCAGTGAATCTGTATGGGAAATTTTCACATCTTATTTATCTTAAAAATATCATGTTCTTACCTATGCATTGTGATAATTCAGGACCTGCTCACATTTTACATTTGTTGAATATCAAAGCAGTAGCAGCATCAGGAATATCTTCTTTTGTTTATTGACTTATGTCTAAATAATAACAATTTTGATAAATGCTTTTTAACTCTAGGCGAAAGGAAGGTCTTTATATTTGGAGTCATATCGGTTCACATTTGATCGGGAAAAGGAACTCCATACAGAGGATTATGTTGAGGAACGGTTAAAATATGTGGTGAAAAGATAACTCCATAATGGATTGGGGTAATAAAACGCAGATCGTAATGGGTTTTTTTTTTTTTTAAATTCTGTCGTTATTACTAGACCAGTGTTATACATGTCAAGAACATATTTTCATTTAATCAATGTAGTCTAACCATGATTTTGATACATACGTCATTATAACATGCATGCTTATTTTTTAATAAATGAAATAAAAAAAAAAAAAAAAATTATCGGGTACATTCATATTTAAATCTAAACATAACCTTATTAATATGAAGCGACATTACAAAACGCAATAATGAACGACCCACATACTGACTAAACTCAGATTGAAAATGAATATCATTACATATATATTAAGAATAACGATAATTAGGCAAGCATCTACGCTGTCTCAACGCTTTAAAACGGCAATGCTAGCGTAATGTACTTCAAACGTCACATTACATCAAAAATGATACAGCCAACTGCACTTTTTTTCGATTTTGTTATTTTGTTGAAATATTTCTTGTTTTTTCATTCTGCTTATGCGCATTCCATTTGCTATAACACTTATTTCCCTAATGAATCCAAAACAATACATTTACCCCTGATAAACGCAATGCTTCACCTGGATACAATGCTCAAATTTCATTATTGAACATCACATTTCTCTTTCAGGTTGTCAAGTTGGCAAGTACGGGAATGGAAATTGCGATAAAGACTGCAGCCTCGGTAATATATGTCACCCCGCATCTGGGACATGTGGTACGTATATATACTCGAGAAATGTATTATTGGTTGTTTCATACCTACAAAATCAGAACAACTCCTACATTTAGCTTATGCTTCAATTATGTAGTTTTTCATGCGCCCTATATTTTACATTTCCATTGCAAGTTCCTTAATAATCATAATCATAAGTTCTTGCGTTTATAGGGCTATACACGCAATTGGATCAGAGTCATTTTGAAGATTTTCCTTCCGTCTCAAATGACATGAGACAACCGTTGGAAGCAAACATTTTGGGGACGTTAGGCTGTTATAATATAAGGGAATATCTTTGTTTAGATCATTTATACTAAAAAATAAGAACGTAACTATAAGGATTAAATGGCACTTGTTCATGCCGGTATGAACACAAACAGGTAACATATGTATTTACCATGAAGCCCGAGGGTAACGATAAATTTGAAACCAAGGACACTACGAACTGTTATACATCAGCTGCTAACCTCGATCTTTACTTACAACATAGCCAACAAGGGACGCCTGACTAATCAGTTTTGCTAACCTAGATCTTTACTTACAACATAGCCAACAGGGACGCCTGACTATCAGCTGTACGATAAGCGAAAAGATTTCGATATTCCGATAGTAATCTTTCCCCCTTCTTCATTCATTTATTTTTTCTTTCAAACATGCACTTTATTGATTCACAACAATCAATTGGATTAGGCACACGTTCTCACAACCTGCTAGGTTCCCTCCTCTTCTTGCTTCTCCCAACCTACCTAATATATTATTTCATTTTAATATTGAGGTCAATGTGTTTAATGCACTACTTTACTGTGCTTTGTTGACACTACCCGGTTCTCGCTTAAAGTACCTGACATAACCGCTTAACATTACCTTTAATTTATTCGTATTTTGCCTTAGTTTCATCGATTTTGAGTTCTAATTACAGTTCATTGATGTTTCGTTTTTTCCTCCCCCCTCTCCCTTATTTCTATTTATTTGACTGTGTCGCTCTTACCAGGAATTGTGTCCAGAGATTTTAAGGTAGTGAGTCCAAATTTGACTCGTATGTATTATGTACATTAACAAGTAAAATGGCAAGCAAAGAAATATTTACATTTGAATGGCATTGTCATTAGATAAACTACCTGAAAGCAGTATCGTTGATGAGCTTTTAAATGACATCCACCACGAGACACAATTATCAGCAAATCACCACTGGACAAAACGCTGTTCAAGTTATTGAACTGTCGATACGGCAGGAATTCTAAATTTAAAAATAATTTATAAGTGAAAAAATGGGGAAGACGGAGAAAACGTATATAAAACGAAATATACGCTTTGAGCTGTTTTAGTATGGAATTTATATTTAGATGTCACCATCTTAAGCAAACTTATCTTAATGCATTTTGTTGTTTGCTTGCAAAGCTGTGTCATTTACATTTAAATAGATCATAAATGCCATACAAAAACAGTTCATTGCTTCAGGGAAGTATAATGATAAATGCTATGACTCCTAGATAAGCACGATATATATATCTTTTACTTATATAAAGCTGCTGCTCAATGTACAGTGTTATGATGCTCAGAACCCCATAGGTTTGCAACTCATTCAGCAGTTATGGTCAAAATTTGACATTGGTAGTCGAAAGAAACAATTCTTCAGACTGGACGGTTGTTTAAATTTGTCTCGCATTAGACATTTTCAGTACATAACTATGTACATCATAACAGCACCGGTAACACATTAACAAACACAAAATAAATTAAATAGATATTCACAACTTTTATGTCGTCAGTCCTGTGTTATCTTTGTTGTATAATATAACTTTTACCTGAAACCAATCAAACAGCCATCTTCGTGCCTTCTATTTTGCTATGACATATTCCAGGGGTGTAGAGTAAAAGGACATTTGAAGTTAAACCTAAAAACCAAATGTCTCCCAACATATACATACACTTACTGGTGGAGCAGGCGCTTAGAAAACATGAATAAGATATATATAAAAAATATAACGGAAAATGGGAAACATCTGTCTTCGATCCATTTAACTTTCGCTCTCATTGAAAATAAATTTAATTGATAACATAGTTAATTCAAAGCTCCAATTAATTCATACGTTCCATAATTGTTAAGATGTCTGAAGTGTCGTTGATTTCAAATTAATAAGTGACCATATGACTATACAATATATTAAAACTCTAGATATTGTAGGTATCACGCTGTTTAACTTACTTTACTTGATGAACAACTTGGTTGACAATGAGATTTGCTTTCTTGAATAAGGCAATTTTTAGATACATAAAGAACAGTATTTAAGAAATAAAAATTAAAAGTCAATTGTTTTAATCAAATGCACATGTTAATGGTTATCATATATTCTTTATGAGATCATTAAATTGCATTAAATTTTTATCAGCAACCTCAATGAACTAAGAAATAATATAAATCAGGATGATTTGGTTTCGCTTTGACAAAAAACATCAGACTATTTTGTTGTTTTGGCCAAAACATGCAAACACAGACACACATATATCCTATCTACCACCACAACTGCCAATATACTAACAAATATCATGTTTTCATCAGCTAAACAATTGACATACACTTTTTTGTTGAAACATAACGCATTAACGAGACATCATTTTGGAAGCACGGTAGTTTACTGATAGGACGCCGGGATCATGGCCGAAGGGTTGCTGTTTCGAGTCACGTCACGGCACTGTGTTGTATCTTTTAGCAAAATACTCTACTCTGCATTATTCCAATCTATTCAGCTGTTAATGAGTACGTGGTTGAGCAGTGCTAGAATTGTTGAATGCTAGCTGTGAGCACCGAAATGGCAGCACCGGTTGTATGCTCCCCATGTAGTGAAGAAAGATATTGGCTGGTTAGCAATGGGTATAACCACTGATAATAATTTGTGAACCGCTTTGAGACGACCTACGAACTAGGTTGTACTAAAGCGGTCCATAAGAACCTCGAACTATTATTATTATGATATAAGTACTGTTTGCACGGTGCGTAGGTCGTATACAACACTATGTGTGTAGGCAGTCGTTGGTTCAACTGTTTAGACATGTTCGCACAAATGTGATATTTGGTAGGATTGTTTGATCGTTATTAGCGTAATGAAAACAAAGCAATAACAAACAAACAAACCAAAGACAAAAACAACAAAAAGCTAAACTAAGCTTGAACAACGAAAGAAAGAAATGTAAAAATCAAAACAGAAGTATCGTTTCTATCACTAATATCACTATTAAGATAATAGTCTACGACTAACGGCTATCGAAATACATCCTGACCTGATATGAATGGCGTTTCCAGTGCTTTGATACCAAAGTGCTCATCCACGAATGTATAATATAGATTTTATATGTTAAGTTGTGCACAAAAATTGTTTTGACAAATATCATAAATCATAGCAATATATGTCTTCTATCAAACTCGAATTTCAGACGATTGCGCTGCTGGATATTATACCGTTGACGGAAGTTGCATTCCTTGTCCAGTTAATTGTGAGGGAAATACATGTGACAGTATTAATGGAGATTGTTCAGGTAAGATGTATTGTCTACGTGTCTACGTGTTTATTTTCAACTCTAAGATAGTTGAGTTTGGTTAAATAGGAATATTGTTTTTGCTAAGATAGGTCTATATTTTTGGTTATTATTTCTTCAATTCATTGCCAAATAATTTGCGTTATTATTACTACTGGTAATGAGAAAGGCAAACAGCAACAAAAGATGTAATAACTCCTTATTTGTATCGTCACGTAGCTTTAGCAGTAAAAACCTGTTTAATTCAAAGGCTCCAGAGATCGATTCCCTGTCATCTATAGTTTTGTCTCATGCATGATTAATTAGCATACTGCACTCTGAGCTATTGACGGTATCTGCACAAAAACTGTTAAACGTTATTTATGACCGGATTCTGATGAAACATCAATATTGCAATATATTATACAGTAACAAAGGTTAAACAACATATAGGCGAGTTAAACCTTTGTACATAATTTATTATTACCTCCAAAAATAGTTTAAAAAGAAGGGGTGGGGGCTCTATTGGTGCGATACAGGTCAGGTGACTTCTTCTTCAATATGAAGAAAACAAATTGAGATTTGAATCATATCCAATACAATATTGAGTTCATCAATAGTTCAAGTGGAACTCTTGTTGTATGGGGCAATACGTACAATAGAGGTTTCTTTTTAAATCATTATCTTTCAATATGGAGGAAGGGTTTAAACTTAATTTTATCTAAAGCATCCTTTAGCTACGGGAACAAAGTTGTGTAGCAATTGATGGTGGTGCCCCTGTGGGTGTAAAGGGGCAGGTGCAATAGGGAATTATGTCAAAAACTTGAAACCGTCGAGACCCCCACAATATAACGTTAAATACCAGTGCTCGACATCTTCAAGGTGCATGAGGTCCGCCTCCACTGAGGTTACTACCTCAAGTAAATAACATCCCCACAAAAGGGTGGGGAGGAGGAGGAGGAGGGAAGATAGAAACACTTAACAGCTTTCTATCAATGCTGACTGTTCAGAAATAACTTGACCCTATGGTAAGGTTGGTCTAAGAAGGGAAGCGAAGGAAACGTTTAAAAGCGATCGTCAGTCCGAGAACATATCTTTGATCATTTTCCTGATGGAAATCCCGTGTTTTGATCTTGATCAAATCTAGTTATTAAGTCATCCCGAACGAATGCTATTATAACGACATGGGCATGCGATAAACACAATACATACGATATCGTTCTTAAACTCCTTTATTTCTTTATTTTGATTATGTTGCCATATTCCAGCTCTATTTATATGCTTGATAATTTATTTAACAGTTATGAACATGAATATTACCGACATTGTTTTAAAGAACTTCATAAGCAAACACTACATACTGTAACATACATTAGCCATATACACAAATCAGCCTCACCACCTACATGTATTAGCCAACGGGAACATTACCATTAGATAGTCAACCGTGAGTTAAAGGTCCTGGGCCTCTTGTTAAGTAATGAGAACAACAAAATATGACAACGTGTTGATTAAATTCACATTGTGTGTGGATATACATTGCATTTCTGATAAAATAGTATCAAACCAATTAGTGTTTAGTTTAAACGCAATAATTTAGCATTTGTAGTACGGCAGTGCTAAAACGTAAAGTGCGGGTACTGACATGTCATTGCTTAGGTTTTTTTTGGACGAATTGATGGCAAAGATCAAAGAACAATTTGTTCTAAAATTAGATACATTGATGATAATATTCAACATCTGGCTTTGTTTATTTGGGGACGAAGTTTTACTTGGGTTCACATTTTGTCCGCCTTCTTAACAAGGTTATATGATATTCGACTAGGTCAAAATACCAATATCAATGAAATTATAAAGTACGCAGTTTCCTGGGAAGTGCATTGACCAGTATTCATCTTAAAGTCAACCCCATAGTCAAAAATACCAATTATTTATATGTTAATATGTACGATAAACGTTGCCTGTTCACTTCCTTTTGACGGCTGCCTGTGAAAGTGACGAGAGTAATGCTAAGATGCAATTACATGGGTGAATAATTTGTTGTGTTTTCGATATTTGTAGCATTTTTATTGTTCCCAAGTAGTATTGAAGGAATCTCAGCTGTTTGATCAAAACTAAACAATCTGTTAGACACAGACATTTTTCTATTTTGGTTGTGCACCTCTACCTAGTACATACACAATTTGTAAAATCATAATTACATATATATATATATAAGCACTTGTACTTTTGCAGCCGGCTGCATGACGGGATTTTCAGGCATATGGTGCAGATGTCCAGTAAGCTGTAAGGACGCTAGCTGTTCTACTGGCCAGTGTACAGGTAAGCACGTGCACTTCTTGTGAGAACAAATGCACATACAATGTTTGCAGTCCTTTTCATCAAATACCTTTATTTTGGTACAGGTTCACTCTTAAGACTTAAAGGGACATCACGCGAAAAGCCATATTTTTTTTAATGAATGTATGTATTGTATGCACTTCCACTTATTTTACCTCTCTATCCCCATATTCATAGTCCGTTCCAAATGTCCAGTTTGACCACTTGAATTGTTCGGGAAAGCCCTGCTAAAAATAGCGCCGGTCACGTCACCTGACTAAGCAGTAAACACGAGCGGTCTGGGCGAGATGAAACGGTTTCCCAAGGGGCCCCTAGAGAGGGGCGTCAGGCAACTGCAACTTCTTACCGCACTATGAAACCAAGTAATATGATTTCTAAGTCCGTATTAAAACTTATTGAACAGTAGTTATTCATCATTATAAGTTAATTGCACACTTGCCAATATTCAGAATTTAAATTTATTTAGCTTTAAACATATTTCTTGCCAATAAAATTGAACAAGGGATGGGGCACACGTTTTTACAATTTATCACGGACTTCTCCCGTCATACATTTACAACTAAATGTCAACAATGATAATAGGCATAAACATAAAGTATATATATATAAATATATATTGAATTTAGTACCGGAATGTGACATCTGTACGGGGCTAAACACCTTTCTTCAACCATGGGACAAACCTTTCTGTAAAAAGGATTATTCACGAGACGAATATTCCTTTTCAAATGTTTTCATAAAGTGCATATATGCAATGACAAACTACACGCGTATAAAAAAAAAGAAACGTTTGTGATTTGTTTTATTACATTGTACAACTCAATATCTTTGGCC